ACAAAAAATGGATGATAAAGCAGAGCTAAGTGTAGAAAAACGAGCTGTTTTTCTACACTTAGCTCTGAAAGTGGCAATACAAAAAGAATGCCGCTTTTAAAGTGACATTACAAAAGGAAGGTTATTCAACACAAAAAATTACTTCAGAAACTTATGTTTCTGAAAATACAGTTATGAAAGCGTTGCAAAGAAAGCAAGAAACTGGATAAAAATTAAATTCGTCATCGTTCGAGGAGACCTAGAGCAACGCTGAGTCAAGAAGACACATACATCCGTCTTCAAAGTAATAGAAAATGTACCGAAATTTGCCAAGAACTTAATTCTATGCGCGAAACAACAGTGTCTGTTTCAACCGTAAAATGATGTCTTTGTGAAAAAAACAATTACTACGCAAGCTAAATAAAATTAATAGATTAAAATGGGAAAAAAAGCATAAAGATTGAACAATTCAACAATGGTTTTAAGTCTTGTTTACTGCTGAATAAAAGTATGAAATTTTTGGAGGAAATCGTCAACAACATGTTTGTCGTTTAATTGGAGAACGCATGATAAAACAATGCGTAATCCCAACAGTCAAACATGGTGGTGGGTCAATCATGGTCTGGGAATGCTTTGTTTGAAAAAAATTGGTGACCTTGTGCAAATTGAGGGCATCATAGATAAAAAAATACCACAACATTCTACAAAATTGTGCATTTCCGTGCGGGAATTGTTAGTTGTAGTTTTACTTTTCAAGAGGTTAACTATCCTAAACACACGTTTAAATTCTGCAGTAATAATTTAGCAGCCAAAGAAAAAATAAAACTAAAATATACGGAGTTGCCTCCTCAGCCACCGGATTTAAATCCAATCGAGATTTTGTAGGACGAGTTATATAATACGAGTTATAAATTGAAATCTTAGAAAAATGCAATTAACCAATAAAGCTTAATAAAAAACCAATAAAGCTATTATAAAGCTCAAATTTAAATGAGTTCGATGTTGGAAATACCATGGGGTCATCCATAAACTACGTACGCAGTAAATCTACTATTTAGGACCCCATACGCGTACATACGCATTATTTATAAAATCAACTCCTTACACTTTTCCAACTCATAACATTTTTCACAACATTAAAAACAAAAAAACTTTTAGTTAATTCGACATTTCTGTGTTACATAACATCCCAGAAAACATTGTTTTAGTTGATTTGAAGTAGACCTACCAAGCTATTTGATACTTTAAAATAGATACTTTAACCGCTTAAAATAGATATTTTAAGCTGCTCATTGGAGTTTTGCTCATCAGCCACTAAGTAAACCATTAGTGGCTACCCAGCAAACATTCTAAAGCGGAATTTAAGTATACCAGTATAGACATTTTCAGTGGTTCACTGTAGTTTTGCTCATCAGTTATCTTGTGGACCGTTAGTAGCAACCACCAAAAGTGTCATGTTAATAGTGGCTAGTCGATGACTAGCCACTATTAATATGTCGGAGGGTTATTGGCTGGCTATTCAAAGCGGCTGCCACTAAAGGTCCACTAAGTAATTAATAAACAAAACTCCAACAAACCGTCAAAATACTAATGTGAATTTATTGTAAATCTATTAAAACAATGTTAGCTGCGTAGTCGATAACTTTCCTTCATGTTAAAAGTTTGTAGTCATTGGCTTGCTACTTTTGGCGGCTGTCACTAATTGTCCACTAAGTAACTGATGAGCAAAGCTACAAAGGACAGCTCAAAATGCTTATAAAGGCCGACTTAAAATCAGCTATAAAATTTTTGATGGAATAATATTGACTTTTTTAATTCGTTTAAAAAAAAATCAAGTTTTAGGAGAGATATACAGTGAGAGATTGCGTCAAATTGCGTACGTACTCTCTGTCTTTAACACTCTCTACCCTCTTGTACTTACTTGCACATTTTTGGGTAACCCTCTTTCCCCTATACCTGCGCACACACTTCAAGGAAGACCCTCTTTTTGTTATTTTCAAATCATAATTTTTGATACTGAAAATATTAAATAGAATCGTTGAATCAAAATTAAAACTCAGTTCTAAAAATTTCAATACTAATAATTTGAATTTTTTTTTTTTTGAAAGTTAAACATTTTTTTTTTTTTTTTTTTTTTTTTTGTATAAAAAATCAAATCGGGAAATCTCAAAATCAAAAAAAGGAGTATACAATTTTGGACCCATTTTTTTTTTTTTTTTTCCAAAAAACACATATTTAGCCTCAATGTCAGAAAACAATATAAAACTACACTTTACAACTTAAAAATAATTTTGAACTCCAAAAAAATTATATATATATATATATATATATATATATATATATATATATATATATATATATATATATATATATATATATATATATATATATATATATATATATATATATATATATATATATACATATATATATATATATATATATATATATATATATATATATATATATATATATATATATATATATATATATATATATATATATATATATATATATATATGCATATAAATTACCAGATAACTATGACGCCAAGCTGATTGGGTTTAGATTATCCTTAAGACTCTAACCAAGCTGATTTTTGACAGATAATCTTTAAGACTCTAACAATTCGTTGGTGTAAAAATCAAAGTAGGAAATGACTTGTTTTAAAAACGGATTTGTCTGATCGAGCTGATCGACTGCAAAATAGATCTTCTAAATATTTGAATTTAGATATTGTAACAACTCAAAATCTTTGAATTGAGGAGGGGCATCATGATACACTTTTGGTTTTTGCTTCGTAACAGTTTTTTTAATACGCCTTTTCTTTTTAGGTGATTGCTTTAATTTGTAGAATAAATTTATACTTACTAAGTTAAATTTAGTATTTACCAAAATATAACAGGTTAAACTTGTGAGACTATTTAAATTAAAAATTATAAATTTGTGTCATGGTACCCCATGGGTGGGGTACCTTGATACAAATTTATAATTTTAACTATGAGTATTATTAAAAAAGTAAATAAAACGTTTAAAACTTAAAAAAAAGGAAAATTTTTTAATTTAAAGAGAAACAAATTAATAATTGTAATTCCAATAATGCATTAAATGTCCAAATTATATTTCAGAAATCCGAATAATATATCGTTTTAAATGTCATTCAGCGTCAATAAATAATGGTTTTGTATTAAAATTGGGTCTCCTAATATTATATTTACCTGAATCTCTTAAAAATTGATTGTAAATATTCAAATAAATGGTTTTTAAAATTGTTTACGACACAATTGAATACTATTTTACAGTTTTAGGCTCCCCTCAAAATAATGTTACTTACCGGTAGACACATTGAATAACAAAAAAAAAAAAACACGAATTTTGACCACTGCAGGCCTAATGATAACAAATGATACAATAATTGTTGTCAAAACTTAGCTCTATTAGTAACTATTTTACCATTTGAAAATGGCTGTCACAACTCTTAACATGCCTCCAAATTTAAAAAATCATCAAAATATGATGATCAAAAATAAAAGAAATAAAAAGTAAAAAAAAAAAGTGATTATTCTTATTTAAAAGTTTCAGACAAAGTCCAGTTCGTTACCAGTTCGTTGTCAATTATCAAAAGTTTATTTTTTATTTTTGTCCAATAGCGTGTTCCATAATTTAGGTCCTTTGATAACAATCGAGAACTTAGGCACAGAATAATATGATTGTTATTTGAAAACCTTGTTGGGTATAAATAATTTATTTTTTCAAAAAATGGTTAAATAAAATGGGTGCCATTTTATCATCCACTCTGAACATAAATATAAGAATATGAAATAGATTAAGTTGATATACGTTGAGTATTTTGAGTTTATTAAAAAGAATTTTAGTGTGCGAGAAGTTATTTACATTTCCAATTATTCATACAGCGTGTTTTTGTTTAATGAGAAGCTTTTTACTTTTAAATACATTAGTGCTGCAATACCTATTGCAATATCTATCATCTTTATCTTTATTTGCATTTTATGAAAATTTGTAAAGGTTTCCTTTTTGCAAATTCTATAGGTTATACTTCTCTACCTTCTAAATTAGTAAAAAAACTTGATTTTTTTATACTTTTTTTTATTAAAATGAAATACATAAAAAAAAATTTTTTTATACTTTTTTTTATAAAAAAGAAACTACATAAACAATTAAAAAATAATGCATATTTAAGCTCAAAAACACAAGCTTTTCAGGTATTTTGGGTTACTATGGTTGTTTTTTTTTTGAGATAATTTGTAGAGCAACGGTTGCTAATGGGCAAATTCTAGAAAAACTTTTAAATTTGAACTAATTTACAAAATATAATTTTTTTTTCTATTCGATTTTTAATCTTTATCTTTATTTGCATTATATGAAAATTTGAAAAATTTATTTTTTTTGTTTCCCAAAATTTTTAAGATGTTGTGCGAAACCCTTCGAAAGTTTTGCAAAGGTTTTAGAATAAGCATGACTACTATGTAAACCTCACTCAAACTCTTTCATTTAAATATTTCAATGCGAACCTCAATTAAACATTAACATTTACAACTGCACCCAAGCACTCACATTCACTGGAACCTATTATTTCGGAGCAATTTTAGGGCAATAAAATGTGAATGTTGTCATATATGCTTTATAAATATATAACCATAAAAATGTATAATTAATATCTAACTTTATGTTCTTTATCTTTTTAAAAATATACCCAGAAATTTTCAGCCCAAAAACTTTATTAGTTCCGGAGTATTTTAGGAAACAGAATAGGTCCTTTTTTGTCCTTTATCTCATTCAGCGCTTGCACAATCAATTCAAAAACTTTTTAAACTTTACTCCTAATTATTCTTAGTGACTATTTGCAAAATAACTTCCTTATTTAATGAAATCAGTGATTAAAACTTTTAAATTTAACGGTAGAGGAGTAGCTTAAACTCAAATCCGGCCAAAATGTCATTTTTCTTTTTTTTTTTATCTTACTTAAATTAAATTGCAAATCATTCTGAATTAATCAAAAATTTAAGAAACAGTTTTTATTTATTTACTATTAAAAAAATAATAAAAGCTGTGATAATATTTGCCACAAATTGGAATCTGTTTGTTGACACACTACCACCTATGATTTTAAATACCTCTGCCTTTTTTAGTGCTTTGTTGCAAAGTTCGCCTATGCAGCACGATATCTGCAAAACAGAATATAGTCAATATTTAAATACATATATATATATATATATATATATATATATATATATATATATATATATATATATATATATATATATATATATATATACATACAGAGTTGGAAAAATATAATAGGACAAAAAGAAAATGTTGACAAAATTGATTCATTTGTATATTTTGAATCATTAAAATTAGATGTGTTTGATTTTTTTGTGCTAATTTATGCGGAAAAATTTAATGAGACAAATTGTTTTTCATTAAAAATATCTTATTTAATTCTAATTTATAATTTGTTTTGTAAGATATTATTAATTTTCAGAAGATAAAACACTTTTTTTTCACGAAAAAATTATTTTTTGAAATATTTAGGAGCTTTTAGCAATCATGGCTCTAGCAAAATAATATTTGAAAGAGAATCAACGAAAATTAATTTTGAATTTAGTTAAACAAAAAAACTTGCAGAACTATTGAAAAAGAAGCCAGAGTTCTACGTTCTACCATTTCAAATATTGTAAAATAAATTGAAAGTCACTAACTTGTAAGGATTTTGAAAGAACGTGAGCGCAAACGTAAGACTAGTGTGAAAGAAGATCACTTGATTGTAAGATTATTCAAGAAAAGTAGATTCAATTCATCCAGAAAAGTTGCAGATCATATTGAAAATAACACTGGAACCAAAATAACTGAAAAACAATCTGATATCGTTTACATAAAAATGGGTTTAAAAGCTACACACCATACAAAAAACGTTTTAGAAACATCAATATAAGAAAAAGCGATTGTTATTTGCTAAAACTCATGTTGATAAGCCAATTTCATTTTGGAAGAAAATAATGTGGTCGGATGAATTTGGTACATTCTGATGGTAAACAAAATGTTTAGAGAAAAACTGGTTTACCGTTTAAGTTGCATTCAAGGAACCGTAAAACATGTAGGTGGTAATTTAATGGTATGAGGCTGTATGTCATGGAAAAGTGTTGGAAATTATGAATTTATTAAAGATGCAATAAATTTGGATATGTGCATAGATATTTTGAATAATAATTTGACTTCATCAACGCGTAAATTAAGATTAGGTAGAAACTTTATATTTCAACATGACAATGATCCAAAACATAAGTAAAAAAAAACAATAGAACTTTTACAAATCAAATCCATAAATGTTCTTGAATGGTCTGAACAAAGTCCAGACATAAATCTTGTCGAAAATTTATGTTCGATTTCAGATAAACAAATAGGTAATTGTCACTTGAAGCGAAAGGAAAAATTAGAAACTGCTGTTACAAAGGCTAGGGATGAAATAAGTTCTGATATTACAAAAAAATGAGTGGAATCTATGTCAAAACGTTTGAATGCTATTATAAAAGCTAAATGAGGTTACACAAAATATTAAAATAGATATTTCGTCAAAAAACTAATATGCTTACTTATTATCAAATGTGATTTTTGAAAAATCTAAAAAATCCTCTCAAATGCATTTTTTTATATAAAAAAGATACTTACAGCTATCTTAAAAAAATCATTTACTAAATAAAAAAGTCATTTTTTTATGAACAAACTGGCAATTTTGGTTAAAATCCGCCATTTAAAATGGTTGTCCCATTATATCTTTCTAACACTGTATATATATATATATATATATATATATATATATATATATATATATATATATATATATATATATATATATATATATATATATATATATATATATATATATATATATATATATATATATATATATATATATATATATATATATATATATATATATATATATATATATATATATATATATATATATATAGGGGAAGTGGGGGCATAACCGCCCCCGTAACGTTTGGATTAATGTTATATGAAAATAAAAACGAAATGTTTTTTTTAGCAGTTTATTTCAATAACCACATCATTAAACTTTAAATTGATGCATTTAAGAAAAAAGTTGAACGGGTTTTGAAAATGTTATTACACAAAAATTACACTTAGTGAAAAAAACGGTTTTGCCCCCATTGTGAGGCACAACCGCACCCTCACAAAAATCGATGGGGCTACACCTTTTATGGTACATTTTTTTTACAATTTTCACAGCTCAGATTATTTGATGATTTTGTTGCATGTTTGCATACTGTGCGGGCATTCTTAGTATTTACATTTTGAGTTCTGCCCCAGAAGAGAGTTCTGCCTCAGAAGAGAGTTTTTAGAAAAAATTCAGTTTCATAGTTTAATTATTAGATTATGGTATTATCAAAAATGGCTTTCACTTCATGAAATAATGCTGATAACATGTATCTTTAACACTAAAATCAAATATTGCGTAATTCTCAAAAAAAAAGTCAGGAAAAATATGATGTAAATATAATATTTTTATGAAAATGAACATTATAATTCTTAACTTATCAGAAATTTAACAGTCACTCTTTTTGAAATATGCAAAATGAAGGAAAATGCTTTACTATCGTGCGGTATGTTTTTTTCCATATTAGAAAACATTTTTTGATGAGAAATGTTAAAAAACGGTTGTGCCTCCATATGCGGTTATGCCCCCACTTCCCCTATATATATATATATATATATATATATATATATATATATATATATATATATATATATATATATATATATATATATATATATATATATATATATATATATATATATATATATATATATATATATATATATATATATATATATATATATATATGTATATATATATATATATAACACTGTAAAAAGAACGCGGAAAACTTGCAGAAGACCACACAGTGTTATCATCGAGAATCGCATAAGATTGCCGTAAATATAAAAACATATTCATAAAATTTTTACATAAAATCATTATATTATAATGCTATTAAAAGGTCAGATAACAAGTATACAAATATATTTTTACAAATATCGATTTTTTTGTTGTTGTTTTTTTTTTTTTCAATAATGTTTACACATTTACTACTAATGCAATGTTGAAAATATATTTAAATATAATAAAAAATAAGAAATTATTTAAGAAGCTTGCAGAAAATAAATTTAGAAAAATTCAATAACTAAATTTTTATACTTTAAAATAACATAACACGGGGTACTTTGGCCAGCGGGTTACTTTAGCCATTTTTAAACATCTGTAACTTTTAAACAGTAAAGTAACGTTTTACTACTTTAAATAGTAAAACCTTACTTAACAGTTTAAAAGTTACAGATGTTTAATTAAACATCTGTAACTTTTAAACTGTTAAGTAAGGTTTTACTATTTAAAATAGTTATTTAAAAATATTAATTATATTTAAATACTATTTAATATATAATAATCATTTAATAATAATTTATTATATAATAATAATTTTATATAATATAATTAATAATAATAATAATAATTTAATAAATAATAATAATAATTTAATAATATTTAATTTAATAAATAATAATAATAATTTAATATAATATAATTATATTTAAATACTATTTAAAATAGTTATATAAATTAATTAATTAAATTTTTTTTAAATGGCTAAAGTAACCCCGCTAGCCAAAGTTACCCATATATATATATATATATATATATATATATATATATATATATATATATATATATATATATATATATATATATATATATATATATATATATATATATATATATATATATATATATATATATATATATATATATATATATATATTTACCTAAAGTTTATGGTTTCCACACTAAAAATAAAAGGTATAAATCCCACTTAGGGTATACCACAAATCCTACCCCTATAAGGTAGAAAATTAAAACTTTAAGGTAAAAAAATGTGCCAAAAATGGTCATAAGTGGCGTTATTTGCTACTTTAAGGATATAAAGTTCTACCTCAAAGGGTATAATTTTCTACCTTAAGAGGTAGGATTTGTGGTATACCCTAAGATTATTTCTACCCGTGTGATATACCCCTAAATTTAGGATATGTGGTATACCTTAAGGTTATTTTTAGAGTGAAGTATGTTTTCATAAAAATTACACTTGTGGTTATATAAGCTCTAAACCACTGTAATTCTTTTCTATTTCAATCGATGAGTATTTAATTTATTGTTAAATTATTAGAAATTTATTTAAGACCTATTAATTTTTTTATCAATTATGTTTACATATGTATCTGTTTATCTATGCGTGTGTTTGTGATTGTGTTATAATAAACTTTTACCTGACACTCTCTTTGTAATGAAATGTGAGCTCTACAATAAGAGACACAATTAGATATTTTTGACGACAGACACATTTTCATGTAAACTTCTTTTTTCGTAGTTCCGTTCAAACCTTTAACAGTAAATGAATACAATTGTGTTGCGCAAGCGTTTTGTTTATAACTGCATTCTATTTCCTTCTCGCTTAGCAAACATCCTTTTTCACTTGAGCCCATACATGAAAAGCACCTTAAACATTCAGCTAAAAAATGCATAAAATAGTGCATGGTAAAGCACTTACATATATCATAAGCCAAAAAAATTAATTATACAAAGAATGTGAAAAATGTAACTGTGAGTTAAAATAACAACTAAATGAAAAAATTAATTAAAACTTAAATAATAAAAATATAAATATTGAAATAAATAATATTCAGTACCAGTATGTAAAAGTAGCACAACTATAAAAACCCTGTTTGAAATCATTTTGTTATGTTTTCTTTATAGTCACTGATACGATTTTTTTTCTCAAAAAAAAAGCGGATTTGGGAAAGTCAAAAAGAAACACGAATTTGATTGCTTTTATATGAATTAGTGATGAACGTTTTTTCTAGAGTTGTTTAAAATTTATTGTAGATGAAGAAAATTTTTATTTCATTTCAGAAATTCTTCTTTTGGGTAAGTTTTAATAATTTATTACGTAAATTTTTCGACGTGTCGTTTTAGAGTTATACGAAAAAAAGTTGTCGCTTTATGTCAATTTAGATTGACACCGTACACACATCAATACATCGAATAATGCCATATTGTGACTAAAAAATAATTTTGGAAAACTAAATATAAGAAAATAATGAAAGGTATAATTTATTATATATTTAAGTTTAAGATTAATGATTCAATTATAATATATACAACTATTTTATCTAAAATTCAATGCTAAATAATAATAATTAAAAAAAATTAAAAAGGAAAAGGTTTTATTAGAAATGATGCATTAGATGCCAGAGTCAAAAACCCCAGGGAAGAAAGGAAGGAGGGGGAAGGGGGATTGGCCAAGGATCACTGCTACCCGCCCCCAATTTTTTTTAAAGGACCTGTTTTTTATTTTTTCAGAAAGTTCTAGATATAAAGGACTTTTTTTAAAAAAATGAAAAGTCACTACTTTTACTTTAAATGTCAGCATAGCGCTAACCCCCCTGGCTTGCAGATAGCAGGTTTCATAAAACAAGATAAAAAAAACTGGAGAATACATTTTACAGATCAAATTAAGACTATTAGGGCATAAAAAAGACAGACGAAACAACCCAGCAAACATCCTATAGCGAAATTTCATTTTGACATTTTGAGATTGTCAAAATACATTTTGAGCGGACCACTGTTGTTTTGCTGATCGGTTGCTTAGTAGACCATAAGTGGCAGCCGCCAAAATTGGTTAAGCAATGATTAGCCACTATTAACACGTCGGAAAGTTATCCGCTGGCCATTTAAAGCAGCTGCCACTAAGTAACCGATGAGTCCAATGAACTGCTAAAATATGCCTATATATGTCATCTGCAAATCAAATAATAAATTATGTTTGCTGGGAAGACTTAATTGGTAAAGTGTTGCAAAAGCATAGGAGCACATATAAAACATAACACCTGATTTAGAAAATAGTTAGGTTCCATGTCTGTTAATTCCTAATACACCTTTTGCACGATACCAAGTGTTTTATGAAAGTAAAAATATTAAGTGCGAAGAGCACGAAAAAAATTAATCAAAAGCGTCTTTATTTTAACTTTCTACTTGAAAGATAAAATAAAAACGCTCGATCGACAGACTAACAGTAACTCAAAAGTACATCAATTATAAAATGTACTAGAATGAACAAAAGTTCACCTTTAGAAGTATTTTATGTCAGAAAGAATTAATTATAATATTTTAGAAGGATTACCAAAGTAAAAACTTAAATTTTAAATCTTTAATAAGTTGTAAAAGTTATATTCTATTTTGCTCAGTCAAAAGACCATTAGACAGGAATATATTTAAATAAAAATTGGCAGGATATATTTTGACGTAGTTTTATTCTATAAGCCATTTTATAGAAAATTTATAGTAATGCTGTAACAAGAAGAGTCAAAAAGAGGAGTTATTTTTAACGTTTCTACTATTCAAAATGTAAAGAGGCTTTGAAAACAATATATGATTATCAAGTTCACCATCAAGGGAATATTAAATCTTTACTGTTCGTAAAATCTTTTACTTGTAAAAAATTTCCTTTCTTAAAAAAAGTAATTTTTTATTTTTTTGCTGAAAAAAATATTTCAATATGAAACTAAAGTATTTAAGTTATCTGTTAAAACTGTATTACAGTTTTCTGGTATTGTTATTTATCATTCTTAATCAGTTTTACGGAGACCAAAAACCAAGAATTGCAGAAGAAGAGTTTTTTTTAATTTAATTTTTTTTTTTTAGTTATTAAGGTGCTCCAAGAAAATCAATCCGAGATGATTAATCTATCTAAGACAATCAATCTATCCAAGAAGATCAATCTATCCAAGAAGATTGTTTCCTAGGCTAGCGCCGGCGTCGATCTACGAATTTCTTGGTTCTGAGCCAGAGCTCAAACCACTACGCAACGGCTGCTTGTTGCCCAAGGTTCACCAATTCGAACTTCAACTACTTAATAAAGCGTATTAAACTGGATCCACAGACCAAGAGTCAGTGCTTTCAGATCAAAAATACAAAGGTTGAAAAATAAATTGTTTATTGATTTAAAGTTTAAGGTGGTAACCCTATAAAAAGGTAATTTTGAGAAATAAAAAGAAATCTACCATATTTAAGTGTTTATAATGTTTATTGGAGAGAATTAGGATAATTAAAAAAAAAAAATACATTTGGTTGATCCATAATGGGGAAAAGTGTCATAAAATCAGCAAAATTGATCACATTTTAAAATGCTGTAAGTCAGTTTGTCTTTATCTGTTTTCAATTAAAATTTAGGACATTCTTGAGTACACCGAGACACTCCATTTAACCCTTAAATTTTTCCTAAATCAAAATGGTAAAAAAGTTATTAACTTTTTTGGATGAACTTATCAATTTTTAATAATTTTGTGATATGCTTTGAAACTTTTAGGTCTATAAATCAATGTTAAGAATGATTCATAAAAATTCTGATGGTTAAATGGAGTGTATATATGTTGTGAGCATATCATTAAAATTTCAAAGCAAATACTCTATCCAATATCAAGTTATCATGTTTGATGTTTTCAAGAAACGCTCAAAATGTTGATACACGAGACCATATGGTTGCGTTGAAAGCCTTGTTTGCATTTCGTGTTTTGTCATGCAAACATTTTTCCGATAGCTCATCCTCCATTAAAGTTTTAAAATTTGGAAAGATAAGATTTTTTATCTACAGAGTAATTGAATTTAGTGATCTATATGTTTTATTTCTATTTTACCAACACTTGCACGAATTTCTAGCATTTCGTGGGCAAAATTTATGACAATTGATAGGATCTGGTAAGTCAGTGAAATGAAAAAAGATCGATAATATTACCTTCTTCAAGGCATGCAAATTTCAAATATTATTACAAATGGCTAAGCTATATTAATTTAGCATAGAGTCAATGAACTTATTGGTAAATTTGCCTATACCAGATAAATGTATTTTAGTGTTTTTATAAGATTTGAAAAGATTGTGCAAACGAGTCCCAAGGCGCTTTTGTACGTGATCAACACACTCGAGCTTGATTGGGGTTACATTATGATCTTTATATTGATTAAATTTTGGAACATCTTTAAACAAAAAAAAGAGTTATAAGAACTACTTGAAGGGATTATATTAGACCATGATCATTTTAAACGGTAACTAAGGGCGTTGCTATGTAAATTTCCAAAAATGGATAGGCTAAAAAGTTAGCAAAACTGACAAAAAGGTATGGTAGGTGGTTCAACTTTTTCGAGAATGAAAGTAGTTGTATACAAGATGCTGTTTTAATAAAAAAAAAAAAAAATCCAAAAAAATTTTATTTTTATCATTTTTTATAGGGCTACCTTAAGATCATTTATTTAAGGTTACCACCTTAAGATCATTTATTTAAGGTTACCACCTTAAGATCATTTATTTAAGGTTACCATCTTAAGATCATTTATTTGAGCATTTCAAGAACATGTTGTAAATAACTTTTACATAAACAATTTATATATCTTTATTTCAAGTTTTTATTTAACTGTATTAGGTTTTGGAATTCTTGGATTGTTTGCTTATACTTGGAATGTCTCTATATCAAACCTAAAATTTATTGGCGTTGGTTTTAGAAAAGAAGTTAGTATTAAAGAAGATAGCTTAATAGATTTGCAAAACGATTACTTAAATTTAAAAAAGGTTTGAAAATCGTCTGGAAAAGACTTTTTAAACTGTGTTAAGAATATTTGTTAATAGTTCAGTTCTTTAGTAAATATACCAAAGAACTGAATTATTGTCTCACAATTTTTTTAAAGTGAAGCTTTAAGCGACTCAATGGTATTCACTTAATGTGGACCCTATCTCATAATTGCGTCAAAATCATATCAACTTTATGGAGATATTATTATTAAAAACAGCGACAAAATGAAAAAAAACTTTATTACAAAAAACTAAATAAAAGTAAAAACTTCATCGTTAATTATTCAAAATGAGTATTATATAAGTTCATTGCAAAACGTCAAGAAAACCTTTTTTCCGAAAACACATTATTAAAATAAACTTGAAATTTACTTTGTGAAGATTTAATAACGAAAAGCATGAAAAAGAAGACGGAATAATAACTTGCTCAAAGTGAACTTCCAAGATAAATTTGCAGTTACGTAAAATGAAGATAAACTTGCTTATACTATTAATTATGATAAAAAAAGGTAATCAAAAACTCATTTTAAACAAATCTTTAAACACTATTTTTAAAAGTAGATAATAATAATAGACTTATAATGTTGTTAATCTTAGTTGAATAACTAACTTAAAGTTTAACTTTAAGCTAGTTATTCTTTATACTTTAAGATAAAATTGAAATTATATATATATATATATATATATATATATATATATATATATATATATATATATATATATATATATATATATATATATATATATATATATATATAAATTTTCATAAAGTTTCAGTATTTTTCGTTATGGTAGCTTTTTATCAATTACTTTTGGTCGCTTGGTGGTTTTGTTCGTGGTGTTTACTAAACAAATCTAATAAAAATTTTGCATTGTATCAGTTAAATTTTGGTTTTAACGAAAAAAACTTTTTAACGTTTCGGCTAAAACACACAGGGTGTCGTTTTTCACCTTTTTTCACACACTAATGGTGAAAATGTTTTTAAGTTTTTTAATCAAGTGTTTTTGTTTTTATTTACAAGGTTTTGTTTTATTTAAAATAAAGATTAAACTAAGTTTTTTTTTCATTTGGGATTGGGATTTTCAAGACCAAAGTTTTTTAATAAACGATTTCCAATAGTTATAAAAGCAACTTTAGAACTGATGATTTAGAAATATTTGTAATCATTTTTGGTTAAAGATAATGAAAATTGTTTTTCGTCTTGCAAAATGCGTAAATGTTTAAGAATTAAATTAAATCAGGAATGACTATGTTGATTGAATGATTTTAAAACACAACTCAGAATATGACGGACTTTTTAAAATAATACATTATAATTATTTGAACAAATATTTATCGAAGTGAACAAGCTTCTAAATTCGTTTTTTTTATATAAAATTAGTTATAACTTTCAGTTCAAGTTATTTATTATACATTTATAAGGGGGAAGATTTTTTGATTGATATAATTTTATTGTAAAATGATATTATATCAATATTGTAAAATAAACATTATATTAAAAACATTATCAAAGAGGTTTTATTATGTACAGAATACTACGTTTAATTGTATTTTTAAAATTTAACCAAAGACCTATATTAAGATTAAATATATTTGCAAACATTGCTTGGGGTAGTACAAATAAAAATAAACTTAAAAATCTTTATTGTCAGCAGAAGCATGTAGCACGTCTTACATATTTTAAAGACCGTTATATTCATGACAAGCCTCTATTATTTGAAATGAAAGTTTTCAATATATATGAGCTTAATATTTTTTTTAATATTCTTTGTTTTATGTTTAAATGTTAAACCAATTCTCCCCCAATTTCTTTCCATAATTTGTATTCATCAAAAGATAAAAATAAATGCATTTTACATAATGATAATTTTATTAAGCAGCCCATTTTTCAAACAAGTCTTTTTAAATTTTGTATTGATTATCGCGGACCATTTTTATGGAACAAAATTTTAAAAAGTTTTAAAAAATTTTACTGAGGATTTTATTCATCAAAGTAACTACTTTTCTTTTATTTGGAAGCTTAAAGAACTCATTTTTACAATTGAAGATTTAACAATATACCTCTGATATTTTTTAATGATCTTCCTTTTTACCTCTATTTTATAAAAATTGATAGGTATCATTAACAACTGTAGTCTATATATATGATAGATATAATGGATCTTGTATTTATAACGGATTATTCTAAGTTTCTTACTTCGTTAACTTATTTTTATCTTGTAATTTCTTATAAATTTTAACACAAACATTTCTTAGAGGTACTCGACGACAAGACCGTATGGTCTTCTACGATTCCACGCGTTCTTTTATATTTTAGTAAAGATCATTATATATATATATATATATATATATATATATATATATATATATATATATATATATATATATATATATATATATATACACATATATACATATATATATATATATTTATATATATATATATATATATATATATATACACATATATACATATATATATATATATATTTATATATATATATATATATATATATATATATATATATATATATATATATATATATATATATATATATATATATATATATATTATTTATATATATATATATATATATATATATATATATATATATATATATATATATATATTTGTTATTATATACTTGTATTTTGAATATTGTAACGAAATGCTTATTTAAAATGTAATAAAAAGAACAAAAAAAATATACATATATTATTATATGATGTGATATGTTATATTAAAAACACATGTGTAACTTTAGCTTATTCATTTTCGTGCTTTAAATGTTCTTCATCAAGCGAAAGTGACTGCTTAGCAACACAATACCTCAAACTCTGTCCAATAGAAAAATACGGTTATGCATGCATTACGATACTGCAATCTTATGAAACTCGAACTTTTGAAAATGTTTCAGAAATTACAACCATATATGAAAAAAATTGTTTGAGTAAATCTATTTCTTGCGATTTGTATTGCGAATATTTTAATAATATTGGTGTGTGCAAGGTTAGTTATATTATATCTATTACCTTAGTATTTTTGTCAGAGATTTTTATGAGTTTTAGCTGATTGTATAAATAAAATTTGAATTACCAGTAGAATTTATTTAAAATTTTTTTATACTTAGAATTCTTGTTGCTATTATGACAAATGCAACTTTGGAAAGCTGCAAGCAAAGAAATTTTACAGAAAAAGTGGAACTATAACTTTTTGTACCAAAATTTACATGGTTATTTTTTTATATGTTTTTAGAAAAGTAATCTGAAATCTGCTCTGAGTTTTTATTTCAGTAAATTAAGTAAACATGTTTTATACGTCTACAAAACGTATTTATGCGTCCTAGTATGTAAACATGTGCTTTAGAATACTTCCAAAGAAAGTCTTCCAAAAGTACATGTTTATACATATTAAATAAAGGAGGGAGTTGAAACAAAATCTGTAAAATAATTGGGCACAAGACGTGTTTTATACCTCTATTAAACGTGTTTATACGTATAAATTTGCATAAACACGTTTTCCTAGGATAAACAAATAAATTTAGTTTAATTTTTAAGTTCGATAAATAAATATATTATCTCAGAATAACGTATTCATACATATACTTTCCCCAGAATTTGTACAAATATGTATTCCAGAGAAGGCTAATTTATGCTGCAGTTATTGTTTTTGCTCATTTTGCTCCAGTCATTGTTTTTGCTGTATTTATGTACGTTAAACATTGCTAGATATTCTTCAGCAAAATAGATAGCTTTTTAGACAATAAATTTTTTAAATATATTTTCCCTTGCCTTTATCTTCACTTTATTTTCACTTTATTAATATTAGGGACGGAAATAACCTACCATGCGAAGTGGGCATTTGTTTATGATACTACCCTCCCCCATCAATTAACTTTATTTAATTTATTTGATTTTTTTATTTTGATTCTTTTGTTTAGTTAATAAATTACTAAAAAAAAAAAATTATTAAGTTTTGGTAACTAATAACCCTGGCCTGACGACACCAGGATATATTTATCCAATCTATTTAAACAAACTGTATAGTGCCACAAGTTTTGTTTATACACAGAAAAAACACGGTCTGATAAATACCTAATATTTTAAAACAACTTTTTGTATGTATATCTCACTAAATTTGTGGAGAGATACAAAATGTTGTTGTTTTTTTTTTTAGGGTTAGGCAACACACTTGAAACTTCTTGAAGCTATTAATGCTAAAAAATAAAAACTAATAAATAGTCTCTGAATTTATAGTTTTATGGGTTTTTGGTGATCTGTCATTGATTTTAAATTTTAGATTTAAATAATTAATTTTTTAAAATACAATTTAAACTGGAAATAACTTATCCTGAACATGACCCTGGAAAGTAAAAAATTGTAAAAAATTTAAAGCTTAGAGAAATCTTTTTAAGTCTAGGGCTATATCAAATTAAATTAACTATATCTAAAAAAACGTTGATATTTAACTTGAATAACAATACCAGTTTAACTCATTATAGTTAACAAATTTCCATATTTAAATTATAAAGTTTTAAAAAATGCGGCATTTATATTTTTCATTTGTTCTTTGTTTTTCACTGAAGCAGATTTTCTAAATCGGCGTGAATTCTATAGAATGTTTGAAGTTGATCTTAAAATGAAAGGTCGAGGCAAAAACTTAAACTTGAACAATATTTTCTTCAAAATTACACAACTTGGTTCTAATTGGCTTCACAACATTTTTGACTTCTTTAAATCAAATTAATGATTATTGATATGCATGAGTTCAGCTGTGATACAGTGGTAAGAGTTCTGGCTCAAAACCAAGAGGTCCGAGGTTTGTCGCTGGCTCTTGCCCGATTAGCGACATTGTTAAAGAAGAAGGCGAAATGCATTCAGCTGTCTAAAAAGTAATAAATGCGCTGGCATAGATAATATTAACGTGAACGTTGTTAAAGCAATGTTTGATATTATTGAACCGCCACTGTTTTACATTTTTAACCTTTCATTAGAATCCGGTATTGTACCGGAGAAATTAAAAATTGCTAAGATCATACCTATTTTTAAATCTGGCGATGACACGATTATGTCTAATTATAGACCTATTTCTGTCTTACCATGTTTCTCAAATTCAACTGATTTGAAATCATTCAACTGATCATGCGGTAGTCGATCTAATAAATTATATATCCAATGGGTTCAATAATGATTGCTATACATTAGGAGTTTTTATTGATTTGTCAAAAGCATTTGACACTGTAAACCAGGATATTCTTTTAAAAAAACTAGAACTGTATGGATACTTAATAATAACTTACTATGGTTTAAAAGTTACCTGTCAAACAGAAAACAATGCATATTATATACAGCAAATGAAACTGAAAATCATATTATAACTTGTGTTGTTCCCCAGGGATCAATCCTAGGGCCGCTCTTATTCCTACTCTATATTAATGATTTATACTTAGCATCCAAAGTTTTAAATGTTATTTTGTTTGCTGATGATTCGAATTTTTTTACTCACACAATAATATAAAAGAACTGTTTAGAATATCTAACGAAGAATTATTAAAAATAAATGACTGGGTTACAAATAATAAACTTTCATTAAATGGTGAGAAAACTAAATTTATCTTGTTCCACAAACCTCGTAGGGGAGATAACCTTTCTCTAAAATTACCCAATCTCTTTATGAATAAAACAATTATTAAAAGAGAGTCAACTGTTAACTTTCTAGGAGTGATTATAGATGAAAGTTTATCATGGAAATATCATATTAAATCTATTGAAAACAAAATCTCCAAAAATATTTCAATGTTATATAAAATTAAACCATTTCTTAATATTGAGTCTTTAAAAATTATATATTTTTCATTTATTCATAGTTATCTTTCTTATTGCAATATTGCACGGGGAAGTACTAATTATGGGAAACTTAAAAAAATCTATAGCAAACAAAAACATGCATGTAGGATTATATTTGGCGTTAACAGAACTGTTAATGGTGAATCTCTTCTAAGCGAACTTAATGCACTTAATGTTTATAAAATTAATATATACCAAGTTATGCTTCTAATGTTTAAATCAAAACATGGTTTGTCTCCTAATATATTTCACTTTTACTTCACTGAAATTACTCAGCTCATTTCAAATTCAATACCGTGGACCATTTATATAAAAAAGTTTTTTGAAAAATATTATTAAAAATAAAACTCTTCTAAACTTCTCCCTAGAACAGTTCAAAAAAGAATCAAAGAAATAAATTATATATATATATATATATATATATATATATATATATATATATATATATATATATATATATATATATATATATATATATATATATATAACTAAAAAAAATGTTTATTTATATATCTTATTATACGATTTACTACTTGTAATATATTGTGTTGTATTTTGTAATTTTTAACTTGTTACATAAACTGAAGGCAACAATGTAAACGGGGCTTGGCGATAAGACAATATACGTCTTCTTCTTGCTCCGGCCATATATTATATATGTACGATCTTTCTTATTGTAAATTTTATCAAACGGCAAAGAAAAAAAAAAAAAAAAAAAAAAAAAAGGCGTGAACTTTCTAGTTAAATGCTCTTCCGCGATGTTTTGTGATAAGACCGCAATGTTTTGTGATAAGACCGCGATGTTTTGTGATAAGACCGTAAAAACATTTGGGATAAGACCGTAAAAATATTTGTGATAAGACCGTAAAAACATTTATGATGAGACCGTAAAAACATTTGGGAAAAGACCGTAAAAACATTTGTGATAAGACCGTAAAAATATTTGTGATAAGACCGTAAAAACATTTATGATGAGACCGTAAAAACATTTGGGATAAGACCGTAAAAACATTTGTGATAAGACCGTAAAAATGTTTGTGATAAGACCGTAAAAATACTTGTGATAAGACCGTAAAAACATTTGTGATAAGACCGTAAAAACATTTGGGAGCACCATAATAACCACAAAAAAACAAACAAACAAACAAAAAAAACGTGGTAAAAAGAGAAAAGAGCAATTTTAGTCGAACATAAACATTTTTATCAGAAGATATTAATTACTATATTGTTCAACTTTTGCTTTTTAAGAATTTACGTATCGCAAAAATAAAAATAACGAAAACGGTTTTATCAATATCTCAATATAATACAACCCTAAAAACTTTGGTCAATATTAAAATGTTCAGAAAAACAGTTACTTGTTTTTCCATAATTATCAAAATGCATTTATTAACCTTATAGCAGATGAAACCAAAGGAGCAGGTATCGAAGAAGTAAAAAAATCCAACACTTTTTTGGTTATGCGTGCTACACCGCCCACTATTTTCTCTCTATATATTGCTGTCTATTTGACAAGTATCTCTAAAACCATTTAAAATATGTATATTTAGTACACTAAAGTTTTCTAGTTTGGTTGATAAAATATAATGATTTACTGTGTCAAAACTCTTGATGAGATCAATAAAAACATCTGAAGCATTTTTCTTTTTATCAAATGTGTTAAGAAAATCATTAAAATGAACAATCGCCTTATCAAAAGAATAAATTTTTTAATTTTAAATTGTTTATTATATAGGATATTTAAAAAATGATACAACCTTTTATACATTTTAATAATTTTGAAAAGCATGGTAGTATGGAGGTAGATCTGTAATTTGAGATATAAGTTACGTTACCGGATTTTAGGACTGGTATAACTCTTGCATCTTTAAGTTTATCCAAAAAATTTATCCGTTCTATAGAAAAAATAAATAAATGCAACAGATGGATTTTTAAATAAAACATTAATTTAACTATTATATTTATGCTAACATGACCCCCCATGGTCTGAAATGGGTCCTCATGGTAGAGCCATCTGCAGACCACCTTCTTAATGGTTACGCAAACAAATAAGGGAAAAAAATTCCTTGGCAGATAAAAAAGAAGGCATTAAAAAAACCATAAAAAAATATTTTGAAAATTTTTATTTAAAAAAAAACCTCTTTTACTTTTAAAATCTAAATAATTTTTATAATTACTTTTTTTTTTGAAAAGGATCAAGTTTTAAAAATATTTTAAAGTTAAAAAAAGTTTTAAACCTCAAATTATCAATTTTTCAAAATTGAGTTTTCAACTTAATGAAACTGAAAGGTTTTAAATATTTATTTACTTAAAAATTGAAGTATTTAACTATTCCCCTTTTAACTCCTTAAATTAAAACCACAAAAACGACCAAGCTTGACCTGAATATATTTAACCAAACAATATAGTTTCATTATTTGGCTT